AATTGTATTCTCAAATTTTTTGAAAATATCCACTATAATATTGTGCGTTTATATCTGAAAAATCGCCTGTTCCAGCCAGTTTTCTGAGATTTTGATCAATTGATTGTCGTTGTATAGTGTTCGCCGTTTTTGTGAGTAGTTCGTGAAATGTTTGAGCTCGGATGTGATTTTGAATATCCGATTTTGAGTACATTTCTACAGATTGTAAGTCACTGTTACGATTTCTGGCTATTGCGCGTATTCTTTCTTGTGAAAATTTCTTTACAGGTGGCATCAGTGTGGTGTATGGTGTGAGGAGAAATCTGTATCGTCTACTGGATTCTGGTTTTAGTTGTGCTATATTGTTGCTAACTTCTGTTGCACATGGGACGGCGGCATCCTAAAAGTATGTACTGTATGTACGTCTTGAGAGTGAGTCTACAAACTAAACTTTTTATAAAAGAAAATTGGAAAAAAAAGACAAATAGAGGTGAAATTTGTGTAGGTGACATGAGTAGTACCAGGTTTCCTTCGTAGTCAATGAAATTGCAGCAATTTGTTGAGAGTAGATACCCTGCATAAGGAATTTTTAACACTACGAGAACTAATGATTGTAATATTTTTGTTCGTTCTAGTTTACATAACTGATGTAGTGGTTCTAGTTCTGAGAGTGACATTTCTGGAAAAATTCTACTTATAGTGCAATCTTATTTCAAATCTAGTTGTTTGTCATAACAAATTGTTCCAAATTATGTGTGATTCAAGATTGATAGTTCTTGCAGACGTTTACTATCACGATTTTCTGGAACGTGTTTTTGACCCATTTGTCCATTTTTTTTGTGTAGTGGAACTGGTATGTAAGATTTTTCATCGTCTTGGTTTTAATTAGTTTCGCTTTCTTGACTTATGCGTTCTCCTGTTGTCATATCATATCTTTTTTTGTATTTAACTAGGATTTCGGAATATTGAGTTTGAAATCTGGGTTTCCAATATTTGTATGCGAATTTCATTTCTGGGTATAACTGAAAGCGTGTTAGTTTGTTTTCAAAACCCTCTACTTTTTTGTAAGGCTGTTAGCCGAGTTGGCTTTTCGTAGATTTACTTGATTAAATAGTATGGATTCGATAAAAAATTGTTTGTAAAAACATAGCATACGTGCTTGGATTTTAACGACTTTGAAGATGGTGCAAGTGTTTTCAGTAAGCCAAACAATGGTTGCCTGGGTACAAGTTGTGGGGTCACAATAACCTTAATTTTTTTTACAACGTAAGCAAATGCCTTGATATATTAGTCTCGTCTTTTAAAACTCGAGGAAGTTGAACTTAACTTGTAAGATAGAGGTCGAACTTAACTGTACACAAAACTAGCTTCTCACAGCCAAATGGCAGTTAGAGCCGGTTGCTTTCTAGTACATAAAAGATGGGCGGTCTCATTACAATTGAGAGAAGGGTTCTTAAAGCGATTACACAAAGGTTATTATAGGGCAGAAAAATCTATGATGGCCTCAAAAAGCACAAGCATATCTCTAGCTTTGCAGAGGGTTGCTGAGAATGTACACTTTGTGTTTAGTGCTCTAAGTATTATTCCAAAGTTTTTTTGCTCAAGTTATAAATTTTTTACGCTCAAGTTATCCCAAAATTTTTTGCTCAATTTCACTGCCGTGCTTTTTTCAGGCAGCCGGGTTTGGAAATGCGAAAAGAGCAAAGGAGAAAAATTGTTTTTAACTATATAGCGCTTCTGAAAATTTCCATTGAAAAAAAAACAAAATTCAGTTTATTTCGAAATTTAAAGAAATAGCGTGCATTTTACCCAAGATGCTCAAATAGCAATTTCCAAACCCTCCAGAAAAGTACAAAAATATACACACTTAAAATAGTTTTTTTAATATACAGCCCAAAATGATACATAGACACATGGGCAGATAGCACAGAAAATTGTTCAAATGCAGTTAACACAGGTTAAAATCGAAAGTGGGGAGGGGATAAAAAATCTTAAACTTTTTAGGGCTTCTCATATTGTCATCTGCTTGACTTTTAACCTGTCTTAGTTCTTGTCGAATTCGTTCTCTATTGACAAAGTGGCGGCAATGCGATTCAGCTTCAGTCTTCGGAAACTTCTGAAAGAGTGGTCGGCTGCACTCTGGGCGCAAAACCCGGACTACGAAGCGCCGGTCTTAATTCTACCCTACCCATCATAATCCTCTTAAACACATCACCTCTAGGTGGTTTTCAAACTTGACTTGTTTCGGACTTTCAGTTCAAGTCTTCAGTATGACTAATTTTGTTCCGTTAATTTAAAACTATAAATAAACATTTAATTTTCACTTTCTAAAAGGTTGTTCAGAAACATTGTTCTCGAATTCAATTGAGTAATTTTGTTAAGTTAAATTTATTTAAACTGTAGAAAAAAAAATTAAAATTCCCGTCCTAAAAGGATTGTTCACAAACATTGTTTTCAAATTTTACTCCAACGAGAATGTGAATGGTCGCCTCCAATTTAACTGAAAAGGTTAATCCCGCCCCTTACCATCGCTTCTAGCTCAGTGCTAATTTTGTTTAAAAAAAGCCCAGTTATTGAATGAAAGCGAAAACAAAAAGAACTCGAATTTTGAATTTGTCAAATTCAGTCACGCCAGGCTTAATTGCCAGCTTAGCCAAGTAAAAAAAGCTGTAGACTATGAAAACTAGATAGAAAAAGGCAGAGACTTTAAAATTGAATTATTTTTGATAATCTGGTTTGGCTAACGTATTAGCAGTTATAATCCGGAATGTGCACGATGAAACAATATAATTATGTCTCCTTTTGATTGCTCCGACCACTGAAAATGAGAAAAAAATGAGTTTGAGGGTCTTTTTTGAACTGGTTTAGAAATTAGTCTAATTTCGAGATAGTAAAGCGAGCGAGTAGGTTTTGAATTAGGATACACTTTTAATTAAGCCGTAAAACTCAGATTCACTCCAGGAAAACAAGTTGGAAAGCAGGAAAATTAAAAAAAAAATTATCTGCAACAAATAAGAAAACTTTTTTGAAATTTTTTTCTTCTCTTTTTACAGCAGCTTTGATAATAATTTTTTGAAGACAACTGTTGATGATTCTGATTAGTTTACTAGTGTTTCTAAGCTTTTGTATTTACCCTCAACACACTATACGCAAATCAGGCCCGGATCTAACAGTTTCTCGAGGGAGGGGGGGGGGGGGGGGGGGGGGGCGGACCTTTTTTTTAGGTCGACCAAATTGATTTTCTGAGCTATTCCAAAACATTTTCTGAGCTATTTTCTGAGCTATTGATTTTCTGAGTTATTCGCTTTTAGAAAAATTTTAAGGTCAGTCAGCCAAAAATGGATATCTCAAAATAGTACAAAGGGGGGACCCTTTGGGTCGGCACGGGGTCGAATCTTTGAGGAGGGAAGCGTCCAGACAAACCCCGCCCCCTCCCCTAAAACCGCTTCTGAAGCAAATAATGGTACAGATTTGAGGTAAAAAAATTTCTTGTAAAATTTTTTGTGGTCGGAATTTTTGGATCCACTTGCACAACAAGCGTCTTGTTTCGATTTAATGTTGTTGGTTTTGACTATTTCCTTGCGTATTTTCGGGTGCGGTATGATTGGCCGAACTTTGTTTTATGCCCAGTAATGTTTTCAGCTGTTTTCGGAAGGTTTCACTGGACAGAATGTAGAGCCAGAAATGGATCGAATTGTTCACGACGTGGGGAAGTTCCTGGAAACACATTTCTACATTTTCAGATTTCAATTTTAAAAAGTTGTTATCTGATTTTGCGATAAATAGTTTTTGTTTTTCTGATGACCCTCGAAAACATTTATAGCTGGCGGTTCAATTATTAAACTTTTTCTTGCAATATTTCCTGGAAAACAACAATTAAATCCCGAAAATGTCATCGATCTGTTTTTTGCACAGATAGATTTAATGAAAGCGCTGCGTGTGTAAGCAACTGTGAATCAAGAAGTGTGCAATTATAATTCTCACCAGGGGTATTCGGGAAATTTAACACATTTTCCAGCTCTCCCAAAACCCAAAGCACTATTACACCCTATTTAGTCTATTTTGCGAACTCTCAAAACAAAACAGGTAAATTTGATGCTTTAGGCCACTTTCTGGAAAGTTGCTACCAAACAAAATTTTCGACGCCCCAAAAATGTTCGAGTTTTTTTACGCCTCTAGAAAATTTTTTGAGTCAGCTGACCAAAAATTGATGTGGGTAGTAAAATAGTAGCAAAGTGGAGCTTTTGAGGTAACCCCTTAAATCTAGCTAGCCCATGCACATGACAATCAGAAAAGAACACTCACCAACATAGTGCGGAAAACGTCTGAGTTCGAATCGCGATACTTCAAACCCAAAACTACTAATGCGACAGCTACCATCATTATGACGCAATACGAGACGGTCATGGAAACGAGCGACCGGGTAATTTCCTTCTCCTTTCGCTCTCGTGTAGCTCGACTACCCTTTGAATTTTCTCGACCTCTGATTTTAAAAAGTATCATGATTGTAGTCACAATAAGCATAACGAGCGGAACGAGTAAAAACAAGCCGATCGACATTGACAGCGCAAATATAGCAGTGAATTCAGCCGGCAAGCCTTTGATGTCGTAATACCCACAAACACCGTCCTCAATTCTGGCAAAAAAGAACATAGATGATCCAAGAATTAGTGATGCCGCGTGAATTATGATGCAAGTCGTAAAAGCATGTCTGGACTTAGAGTTCTGGACATAAAGTGCTGGCTTCCACGTGGCAATAACTCGATCAACAGAGAGAGCGATTAGACAGTAGATGGCTGAAATCACATATTGTTAAATTTAAAAATTGAATTCCAAAACTTTGAAAATCAAAACAAAAGGACAGATTGATTTCGAAGTCAGATTTGTTATTGGACAAAGTATTCGATCAGAAATCCCTAAATAAAAAACGGATAGTTGCTTGCTGTGCAATTAGAACAGAAAATTCCGACATCGTGCATAAAAATCATTAATTTTTTTTTCAAATTAAGGTACTAGTTTTGTGCTAACTGTGATGAGAGAACCTCTAAAAACGCGTATAAAATTGGTGAATTAGACGTAATCGACAATAGTTATCTTCAAAAAAGAACAAAAACGAAGAAATTTAAAATTTTTTTTATCTCAACCCTCGGTAAACCTCTTGAATTTCTTTTAAATGTAATTCAAATCCTAATTTAAGAGACTTCAATATGATATATCAAGCAACCCATTGCAAACACTATTTGAGGCATCAAATTTTTCGTGGAAAAAAACACCCTAAGAAAACATTCCTCTCCAATTTCAATTGTCGGAACAACAATTTTGTAATAGTGTTGTTTTTTGTCCGTGTTGTGATGAGAAGATCAGCCTAGATCCAAAACACGTTTAAAAACTACTTTTACTTAAGTGAAATTAAGCTTTGGTTGCTTGAAGACAAGTTTACTCCTTCTATTATGAGTATGCTCGCTTGGTTTGTTCGCTCGAATTTAGACAGAAAACCTTCAAGTTTTTGAATACAGCTCAAATCTCGGCTGTAATGTTTCATCATAATATCAATCCGTTCAGATGATAAATTTGTGTTCATTTGAAAAAAGATTTGCGTGCAGTATAGGACAATCATAAAAAGCCTGAGGAAGAGACGGTTCGATACAATTTTCACACTATGATTTTTCACTCCAATTTTTCAGATACCGGTGAATTGAAAGGTGTTTTTTTTGATAGCCCACGTTTTATCGTTCAAAAGGGGTTCTGCAAAATGATTCAATTTGTTACCGAGGCATTATGTTTTTTCACAAAATTAGTTTGATCTCAAATCCATGCAATTTATCTGACGATATATTTGGGTTTCTTAAATGATATTTTGGATGCTATTAAAATGTCGAAAAAGTGAACTTTGGTAAAATGAATGTTAAATGAACACTTCCTATTCTTGAGTTCATGAGTTCAAACCAATTCGACCTTTTTGCAGAATATAACATAGGGCTGAAATATACGTTTATTGTTCCGATGACTTGAATTTGAGGAGGAACTTTGTATTCAGTAGTGTTTTAGTATTTTACGCAAAATCAGCTTCTACAAATAGTTATCGGAGAGAATTAAATAATATGTCATATTGAAGCACTTTTAGTTGTGATTCAAACGGAAAAAAAATCAAAAACGTTTTCGCAGTGATGGGAAAAACTGGTAGGAAATTTTTGATTTTTCGTTTTAATTCGAGCGAATAAAACGAGCGAGCAGGTTTATCATAGCTTCTTATGTTAATGGCTTAAAAGCTTCCAAAAAGCTTATTTTAAGCCATATAAATTTAATTTTAATCAAGTAAAGTTAATTTTTTCGAGAAATTTTGCGCTTTTTTTGAATCAAAAACGTCAAAGGTTCAAAAACTTACAAAAAAAACTTGAATTTTTTTTATTTTTTTTGTTTTGCTTTTCAATTTTCTGCAAACATTGTTTTCCAATTTGCTAATTTTGCTATGATTGTCGAATATGCCTAACCTCTAGTTTTTTTTCAGATCCTTTTATCACACCACGAAAAAACGAAACTAATTTGAAAAAAAAACTTTATTGTTGTATTTTATAAGACTATGGTCGGAATATTCTGTGCTTATTGCTCAGTAACCGGCTAACATTGTTTTCTTTTGGAAACTTTTTGACTTTTAGCGTCTTTAAGAACTAATTTAAACAAGGACAATCTACAAACTAAACTCGCTGAAATTAGTTATTGAAGATCGTAGGTCAATAGAAACTGCCAGGTGAAATCAATAATGTCAAAAATCTATGGGTTTGCTGGTCACTTATGAAGGCTCGCCATATATTTCTCTCTCATTTTTACTTAATTAGAATCTATCTGGTTTTTTTAAGATTGTTTTTATAATGATACTCATCTGAAACTTTGAAATAAACCTCATGGAGTAAGTTTAAAATTATTTGATAACTTTTTTATTTTAAAAATAAGCCTGAAATCAAAATTTTTTTTTGTTTCTATTTTACCAACTTACAAGTCATTGTCGTGACGGGCGAGTAAACAAAAAGCCATTTGCAATACGAGACCGATCTGTCCTCTAGATTCCAGTTCAAACATGCAGATCCAGAACGCACAATTCCTCGCACCAGCAAAGAGGTCAAATCGGCCACACAAAGCCACCGCATGAATCCAGTTCCCGAAGTGTCGCCATGTTTGATCGCCATTTTGTTCACGACTCGACAAGTCAGAACATTTCCGATGATTCCAATTAACGAAATGATCACAATGACAATTTGTACGCTTTTTAATAATACAGGGTGGTTGCTCTGATCACGATCGCCATCCGAGCTCTCAATAAACTCTATTGTCAAGTTATCAGATGATGTATTCTCCTTTAAAAACCGAATATAATTAGATTTGACACGGAGAAATTAAAATTAAATCAATCCTGATTTGCTGACCTTGCAAAACTTTACCCGAGTTTTTTCAGAGTTTGAAAGAAAAAGGGCTCTATCGAAGATGATTAAAAGTTGACCAATGATTGTAGACAAGGGCAAAACATCTGGGAAGCCTGAACCCTTTCTTTTTAAAGTAATTGGGATGTATGATGAATATACGATCGCTAATTCGAACTGATTTTTAAACCGAATAACGTGCTGTGAGATAAACACAACTGGTTGATTAACATTTATTCTTTGCTCTGAAAGCCATCGCTTTCAACGGTATAGCGACAACTCGCAACAAAAGACAACTACCAAAACAAGACAACTCCCAAAAAGAGACAACTCGTATAAAACTCGGAAGAAAAATTAAATTTTCTTTTAATCTAAATTTAATGTTCAAAAATTTAATGTTAAAAAAGTTCTTAAAACAATTTAAATACCGCGTGGGGGATAGTTTTTACAAAAAATCTCAAATTAAAAAATAATCTTTTTATATTGCAATTAATTTTTGCATGTTATTACTCCTCTATAGACATTTAAAGGCAGTCGGAACATTCAGGGCTTCGCCTTGATACGAGCAGTCTTGTTTGTTTTTTTTTTGTATTTTTTTAGTCAGATCAACTTTATCGTTTTCCGTTATTTCTATAGATCTATTGAATTTAAACTGATAGTAATGTCATGATCAGTTTTAGACTAAATATCCGTTCGAAAAAAATTAACGGTGACAAACAAATTGTGTACTCTATCTGGACTGACTCTGCGAGAAAATCATTTTCGGAGCTATCTTAGGTTGGAACTTGGGTAGGGTAGAAAAATGGTTTATTCTGAAACCTCCTACTCTTCGCAAAATTTTTATTGGCCACAGCCTTCATCAAAAAGTCAACATTTCATTTTACAAAATTTTTTATATGAGCATTTTCAATACTTGCAAAACAAACTGAAAACTGTTGCTTTATCAGGGCGCCTGAGATCTGTTTCGACAGCAATTAAATTTTTTGTCGTGCGACTGAAAAAAGCGACGAGCGAAGTTTGGGTTACTGATTCAAAAAAATTTTAAATTAAAGTTTTCAAAAAAACTAAGTCTGCTTAAGCGAGCAAAAATATAAATATTACTAAATTAGAAGTCATCGCCGAATTGTTTCTTCTCGCTCGAAATTTGTTTCGGCTAAAAACGGCTCGGTTGGACTCAGTCAAAAACGTTTTTCCTCCTTCTAGCTCAGTCAAAACATAGATGGTTTCGAGAATAACACATATCGCGCCTGGGTGCATGCGGTCGAAACACACCGGTTTTTGTCCGAAACACAAATCGCAAACCCTGGTCGCGGTCAGGGGCGGATTTAGGGGGGTGGGGGACGCCCCCCCCCTCAGAGATTCGACCCGCTGCCGACCCTTTGGTACTTTTTAAGAAATCCATCTTTAGCCGACCTACCATAAAAAATTTTAAAGGCGCCTTGGGCGCCAATATATACTAATTTTGAGGGCGAGCGCGCGCCGAAAAAACGCGATTTTTTGTCAAAATTTTCCAAAAAGTGCCTAAAAACGCCTTTTCTGGACAGCTTTTTAAAAATTTTGTCTGCGGCGAACAAAAATTTGGCCCAAACAGGGACTAAACCGTGCTTAGGGAGAGCTCGAAAAATCAATTCGGTCGACCTAAAAAAAAAGGTCTATTAAAATACAAAAGTTTCGAAAAGTTTTTGAAAATCCGCCCCCCCCCCCCTCGAGAAAATCCTAGATCCACCCCTGGTCGCGGTTAAAATTATTTTGGTCGCGCCGGTCGCAAACACGCTGCCGAATTTTAGTTGCGGGGCCTGAAAATACCCATTTTTTGTCGCAATAATCTGGAAATACCCAATTTCGGTAGCGGCAGTTTGATCATAAAACGACAACATCGACCATGGTGCATAAAAATTTACTGTTCAAAAAATTCATTTCGGTGTTAAAAAACTGGGAAAAAATGTTGCAATAACTTACCTCATTTTCCATTTTGCGGATGATTCGATCGGAGAAATTGTAGTTTTAATTTCAGTACGTATGATTGATGAGAATTGTAACTTCATAAATTATATTAAAGTAATCCAATGTCGAGGAAATTGAGAAAATCTAATTACTGGAGCAATTTTAGCTCTTGTTTTGAAGTTGACTGCGGATATCGTCTATCCGATAACTTCCTTTTGTCTATATTTTTGCCATCAGGGACAAAAACAGCAGTTTTGTCCAAATGAAAATTTTCAAACAATAGAGAAAAAGAAAACAAAAATGAAATCAATCAAAAATGCGACAAGAGTTTGTAATGAAAATATCTTGCACGAGTAAAAATCGATTAGTTGAGAATTGGCATCTGCGGATAGACTTAAACATCCATCATACTTGTTCTCTTCCGTTGAAAAACAAATTAAAGCACCTGAAATTAAAACAGTCGAAAGACGCTCATTACAAGCGTCCACCATATGCACGGACAACTTCATTTAGTCTCATATTACCAATTTAGTTTCAAGCAGGAAAACAAATAGACAATTAACAGTCGAATGCCACGAATCTTTTTTGATAAAAAAAATAGGAACCTGGTCGAGCGAATAACTAACAGACTGAGAATTTATCAGGACGGCCATCAAAGAGCCAGCCAATTAAACGCTATCAAGGGCCCTAGACGAGGACATATCAGCCGCCCACATCTCAATAGATTTAGTATATACTGGTACTTTTGCGAGGTTATAGGAGAGCAAGAGCAGCTGCTTTCTAAGTTAAACAAAGCTGCTCGTATCAGGGCGAGGCGCTGAATGTTCCGACTGCCTCCTAGGGTCTACGGAGCAGTAATAACATGAGAAAATTAAACGTAAAAAAATGAAATAAAAAAATTTCTAAAATTTGAGATTTTTTTGTGGAAATCATAACCCCACACGCCATATAAAGTACAAAGTGATAGATTTTGCTCGAATTAATGAATCGATTATGACAAAGAAGCTGTTTTCAGCCAATTTGGAACAATTTCTATGGCGAATTAGTTCTTCGCTTACGCCTTAATTTGCGCGAAATATATCGCGCGTTGATTGTCCCAAATTCCCCAAAATGCCAATCTTTAAACCCCCATAACACTAAAAAAAGGTTTTCACAGTTGAATTATTCTTCCAAATTCAAGCTCAGGACAACATAGCGTTTGATTGATATAATAATAATCATAATAATAAAATTGGGTTTTGAGCTATGGCTCAAGGGGTCGGTGTCCCGTACAAATAAACATAACATAGACAAGACACAATTAAAAAAAGAACTGTCTGTTGTGTAGTTGACACGAGCTGCAGGAGCATAGAATGCGCCAGCAGCAGGTGTCAACTTCTGAGTACTGGGTAAAAAAGTAGTACCAGTAGAGAACAGTCAGTTGTCGCTTCAGGTCGGGGCTATCAAAGAACGAAACGTGCTCTTGCAGGTAGTTGACAAGTTTAGGAGTGCAGATCCAGAAGTTTTCATCTGTTTTTCTCAGGCAATTTTTGGTGATATTGAAGTAGTTGGACGCGCCACGCCGTGTGCCAGTGTCATTTGCGAAGTTAAGGTGTTCGCTCTACTGATGTTGTATTTTTCTTGGATAATTTGTGAAAGCAAAAGAATGTCGTGCAGTTCAGTGTAGAGAGAGAGTGGAAGTATGCCGGATGTAGCGGGACGACTTGAATAAGATACAGTGTCTCCACAGCTCATTATCCATTTTGTTGCTCTTCTTTGCACGTTTTCGAGTTTTTTCAAGTCTCCTTTGTTGTAGGAGAGCACTTGGCTACCATAAGTGAGTATTGGATCAATGTATCCACAATATACAGAAAGTTTAGTTTGTCTCGATGCTTTTTCTGAGGTGTTGCGTTTAATCGAGAATGAGGCGTTCATTGCTTTGCTCCAGCGTTTTTTTAGCATGTAGTGAACAACTTAGATTATTGCAAATGTTCAGGCCCAAATTTTTTCACTTGATTCTGCTTGTAGTTCTTTGCCACATTAGCTGAAAGCGCCCTCGCCTCGGAAAGAATGTATCTTGCATTTAGAAGAGTTAAGCGACATCTTGTTAGTTGCATACCATTCGCTTACTTTGTCGAGTTCTCTCTGTAGGTAAATACAGGAGTTGGAAAGAAACTTCGAGTCATCGGCAAACGCGTATGTTGAAGAATAGCAGATAGCATCGGGTAGGTCGTTAATATAAAAGAGGAAGAGAAGAGGGCCCAGAATAGAGCCTTGGGGAACTCCGCCTGTTTTTATCGTGGAGCCTGAAATGGCACTGCCAATAATAGTTATCTGTCGCCGATCTGTGAGATAACTTTGAAGAAGTTTGTAGAGTCTTCCTCCAATTCCAGACTTTATCGAACGCTTTTTCAAAATCAATGTAGCAGGCATGGAGTTGTTCCACTTTGGCATCATCAAGAGAGGAGTAAATTTCATCGACGAAGGTAAGCAGTTGTAGAACAGCCGCGCGTTTGGCGCGAAAACCGAATCGGCAATTGCTAAGATATGGCCGAACATATTCATACAATTGATTGAAAATGTACCTTTCAAACACTTTCGATAGAACACTGAGGAGAGTAATTGGTCTGTAGTTCTCTACATTTCTCTTATCTTTTTTTTTTGAAGATCGGAAAAGACGAGCCACGCTTCCACGCAGAAGGGTATTCTCCTTTATTTTGAAACGCGTTGAATAGTGATGCGACTGATAGAGCTAGCTCTGCTGAGAGTTTTTGAGGACTTTATTTGGTAGTCCGTCCGGTCCACAAGCTTTTCCTTCTTTGAGCTTCACCATTAGTTCTCGGATGTTGTTTGTTTCAATTCTTACTTTGGACAACTTTGGAACATGGTCTGCTGCGATCTCATTGACTGTGGAGGCACTCTTTCTGTTGTGAACACTGCTGAAAAAGTTTTTGAATAATTTTGCTTTCGAATCATTGTCTGTTGCTGTTTCACTTTTGAGGTTTACACAGCTCGGAATTCCACCACTTTTCCTCAAAGATCTGTAGTAATTCTGAATTTCTGAGAAGTTTCGTTGACCAGCTAGTTTCATTTCAAAGTTTGCTTGGTCTGCTAGGGAACCTTCGCGGATAGCCAGTTGTTACTGGCAATTTTGAGTTTGCTACTGTCTGTTGGTTTTCGACTGTGCCGTTTTTCAGCAGTGGCTTTGTGTTTGATAAGATTCGAGGTTTCATTTGAAATCCAAGGAGGGAGTTTTCATCTGAGTTTTGTGATTCTTGGAACAAACTTGCAACATTTTTGGTACATCCAGGTTTACCATGTATCTAATAGCACGTCCACGTTGCTATAGCTGTAGGCTTCACTCCAGAAATGATTTTCTTGAATGTCTAATTGTAGGGACTCAATGTCTGATTTGGAGAAGTTGAAGATTGCGAACTTTTGTGGAATATTTGTTCTCGTATGGTCGCTGCTCCACACGTGCTCAATCACCGTTGTAAAAACTTTGTGGTCTGATAATAATCTGCCAGATTGCGAGTATTTTTCATGAGTGGATGGGTCAACATATGAATGCGACACCATGTTCGGGTTGTTGCAGAGGAATAGGTCGAGCTGGGACATTGGGAGCATCTGTTGATAACTTGAGGAAACAAAGTGGTCTAGAACTTTTGACTCTATTTCGTTTGTGGAGAACATAGTGTTCCGGTCAGTTTTGTTGAAGTTAATGTCTCCGGAAATAATAACGCTGTCGGTTTTTTTTCTGTTTCTGGCAGATGCTGAGGGTATTCAGCAACTCGCTGATCTTCTTAGCACTCCATCGATAAGAGCTGCTGGCCAGGGGACAGTAGTTAGACAACATAATATGATTGAGGAATCACCGAGGAAGATTTCTGCGGCGACACAATCTTTCAGGTTTTCAAGGTCGATAGGGGCTGTTTTAAAGTTTTTGATCGCAATCAGGACACCACCGTGTGAGGCATTGCAATGTTTAGATGGAAGGCCATTCCGGTATGTGGTAAAGTTTTGTTGGAATAAGGAGCTGATGTGGACTTGTTCCGTGAACCAAGTCTCTGTGATGCACAGAACGTAATGAGCGCCGACTGTGGCAATTGTATTTGAGAAACATAGACGCCTACTGATATCAAGAAGGCTTCTGACATTAAATGTCAGTATTTTGAAAAAGTTTTGAGGTAGTCATAGCTCAGATGTTTCGCTCACATCATCGTCGTTACGTTCATCCATGTCATGCCACTCTTTGTTTTTCCGTATTTGTAGTTTGAAGTCTCTTATGTCAAAATTTTTTGGTTGATTCCGTTGTCGATCAGTTCTTTTCGTCTTTTCAAGCGTTCATTCTCTTTTGCAGCTTTTTCCCGAGTTAAATTGGGGCCGGTATAGACTGCACTGGGGTAGTCTTTGAGTTTAGCAAGGGAGAAAAGAATCAATCGTTTCTCCCATATTTGCGAAGCTCTTGCGATGATTGTCCGTGTTTTGTTTTTGACGGGTTTACCCAACCTCACTGTGTCGGTTACTGTGCATTGCACTCCGTTAAAAGTGAAGGCTTTCTTGACTTCCGCAAGATCGCTTTCGAGTTTCTTTCTTTGGTCAGCTTCAGTTGATTCGGGAATGCCTCTTAGTTGGATTCTAAGCATTTCGATTTGAGCAGGGCGTTGGTTTTGTTCGTGTGTTCTTCTTGCTTTAGGTTCTGGATTATTGGCTGGCACTGATTGTTTCATTGATTCGGATAGGGCCGCGGTTGCTTCGTGAATGGGATTCATCTGAGAGGTAAACTTAAACTCTTCTTGGATAATACTGTCTTCAGTTTTTTGTTCATTGCATTTCGCAATGACCCAGTCTCTTTTTCCTCTGCACATGTCGAGCATAGCGTCAAATAGTAGTTTTTAACACCTTTCAGCTCGCGGAGTAAAGTCGCAGAGAATCCAGTACAGTTAGGTGTCCAGTGTAGGGTTGTATTGCTAACCAGGCAGCAGAAAACATTATTGTCGAAGGTGATAGGGTGCTCGCACGACTTGCAAGACATGTTTGGGTTAATAGAAGAAGAAGGAAAAAAGTTGATACTGGAAGAAAAATCCGAAAACCGGTAGGTTCAAGCTTTTCTCTAAACCCAGGGGAAGCGGGGTT